AGCTAAGTAGACATAAATGTCTATTTTCGTAGAGCTTGTAAAAGTATACAACATACAGTATATATATATATATATATATATATATATATATATATATTCAAATTAATATTACAGTAATACTAATAAAATATTTATCATTTATTTGTTTGATACTATGTTTCACTTTGATATTATAAATGTTTAATAATATATAAATAATAATAATAAAGATTGAATTTTTTTTTTAAATAAATATTTTATATTATTAATACTACTCCTACTACTATTGACATTTATTGTTAATATTGATTTAATATGATTAATAAAAATATTTTATTATTGTAATTATTAAATATTATGATTTTTGTTAATAATTAATATTACGGAATATTTTCATAATAATATTATTAATAATAATAATCAAACATAATTGACACTTAACACACACACACACACACACACAAACACACAATCATACTGTACTAACTTATAAATTATAAGTCATAATACATATAAAAACTCAATATACCGTAATATTTAGTAATAGGAAATATTTTATATATATATATATAATAATAATAATAATATCTTAAATCATGATAAATATTAACAGTAAATCTCATTAACTTATTTGCTGAGTGTTTCTAAATGTATGAAATTGGGTATCAATTATATATATACTGTATATTATATTGTTTGTGTATGTGTGTGTGAATATATGTGTATGTATGTGTGTACAGTATATATGTGTGTATATATGTGTATGTGCGTGTGTGTGTGTCTATATACAATATATTACAAAATGTTATGATTAAAATCTCTAGTGTTATATATATATATATGGAGACTACTACTACTATTACTACTACTACTACTACTACAGTACTACTAAACAACACTAAAATTATAGTATAGTAGTCTAACAACAACAAAAAACAACAACAAAATAGTAGTAATAATAATAATAATCACAAACAAACCAAAATCATGAGATTATAGAATATTCTGTAATATTCCATTGAAAACATAGATTTCGTTATTTATTTATTTATATATTTTTTTAGTTTTTTTTAGTTTTGTCGGCACGTTTTATTTATATAAAAAACTATGTGTTGTTTATCTAACATATATCACACACACACACACAACAATATGACAAAAATATTTTTAAAAAATTTTATGTTAAGTAAAAATAAAATAATTTATATGCGTGTGTATGTTATAAGTATTGAAAAAACAAAACATAAATATTAAAATGTAGTTTTTTAAAAAAAAATTGCTCACTTGTTGTACCCAAATAATTGTTTTATAAAATAAACTAGTGTTACCAATTTAGCTTGATAGTTTAAAAAACATATATTATTTTTTTTATTTAGCTATTACAAAATATACAGTACAGTATATATATACATATATAATTTTACAAATAAAAATTTTTGATATAATAGCAGTATGTATTGAAATTCTTTTGGCTTTAAAAAACTAAAATTTAATTATTATTTGGTCACTCTATCTATTTATATAACATTATACAGTACTTGATATTGAGTTGTCTAAAGTATTTTCTAGTTGTTATTATAAAATTAAATATTAATGTACATGTGATATACAATATATATACCTATAGTGATAAACAACATGAGATAAAAAAAATATATACAGTATATACACAAAAAATAAGATAATAATAAAAGTCAGGTAAACAAACATTAGGACTTGTGATCTCCTAAAATGTTTTTCATCCAACAAAAAATCATATGATTTTTTTTTGTTGATGAAAAACATCTTATATTTGTAAAAAATAAATAAATTTTATATTCTAATAAAAAACAATAAAAAAATTATATATTTATTAATATATATATATATAATTTAAAATTCAATTATATATATATTAAATTTTTTTAAATATAATATTAAAATATTTTAATAAAATTTTTCTAAAAGATATGTTTATTTTTATAACTAATTTTTTTATTTAAAAAAATTTATTATGTAATATTATTTGTTTAGTATGAATGTATAATTTAGTATTAATAAAAATATTTGATTATTATTTTATATATATATATACTTTTCACATTTAAATGTTGTTATTGTAGTAAATTTCTAATAATAGCATATATAATAAGTCTAATAATTTAAAAAATATTTTTATTGAAAATAAAATTTTTATTATTTTGCACGAAAATATTCAATAGACACTAAAAAGCAATATTTATTTATTTAAAATATTGTTTTCCATATATATTAATACAGTACATGTATATAATATTTTTAAAATAAATTTATCAAACAAACTGTAGAGTAGTTTGTTTTCTGGAATTTATATGTCTATTTATGTCTGTCTGTCTGTCGTATGTTTTTTTTTTGGTACAAATTTTGATATTAAAAATAATTATATAAAGTATAAGATAATAAATTTTATATAACTAAATACTAACTAAATTATTCAAATTAAAAATAACTTTTATAAACAAAACAAACTTTATAATGTTAGGTTAAATTAATGCCAGTAAACTGCTTATTTTCTGGCAATGCTATTTTGGCATTATCAACTGATTTATTATCTATTCAAAAATATTCAAAAATTTTAAATTAAACTTTTTTAAAAATTAAACTTCACATAATATATATATATATATTTCATAAATTTTATTTTTTCAATTTTTAATTTTGCAAGCAATTTATAGATACGATATTACCGTATATGACATAAATGACAGTTAGAGTGTACTTCTAGTAGTTTTCTATATAAACTTTTACATACACACACACATACACATACACACATACACACACACACATACACACACATACATACAAACACATACACACAACGCAAGTGCTAATACATTACAAACAATACCTCACAGGGTATATACAGTCATACCAGTGCTCTCTCTCTCTCTCTCTCTCTCTCTCTTTCTTTCTTTCTTTCTTTCTATACTCTATACTCTACAAGACATGTAGTTTACTATTCATCCCATAGTCACTACTACTACTACTAGATGTCATAGATTTTTATATAACTTTTATATATATTTGCCGATCGATAATACAGTTTGCTTTGAAAGCAATTTTCTCTTTTAGCAAAAATCTCTAGATTTGCAGTTAAAGAGAGTGAGTGTCAGAGTCTAGATATACCAGACATACAGAGAGACTGGACGACTAACTGAGCTCTAAAAACTGTATCGTTATATATATATATATATATAACTTAACTAAACTACCAGTGCTTTTAAACATAGAAAGACTTTTATGCGATATATACTGTATAAATACTGGGAAAAAAATATTTAGTCAGTAAATGACTTGTAATGTATTGAAAGTTAAGGGAAAAAATATAAAAAAAAACTTTTTTTTTTCTCTCTCTCTCTCTCTCATTGTATTATCTCTTGTTATTTGCCATTAAACCAGTGAATTATATACAGAATTTTTTTTCGGGTAATTATATATATATATATATATATCGTATATATTCTTTGACAACATATTTACCGACAATTTTAGTTTTTCACTAACGGTGTTATAGACAGTATAGACGGTGTCATACAGTATATACTGTATATATATATATATTTTTTTATACTCCCAGTGCTATCACTATAGTCTAGATTAACAGTAGAAATATATATATTATATATATATTCTGTATTACTGTATATATATATATTTGTTCAATAATATGCAATATATRTATAATATATTGCCAACAAAAAACTAAAGTATTATAACTATTTTTTTCAACAATAAAATAATAAACTAATAATTTTTCGTTTTGTTATATATAATATAAGTTATATAACATTATCAACAACAAAAATTTAAGTAATTAATTATTTATTGGTGAATAAAAAACATATTTGAATAATATCTATACTGTAAAATATAATATAAACTATAATAATAATAATAATAATATTTTGTGTGTTTTTTTGAACTAACTAAACAATTATATTGAAAAATACAATATACAGTATATTTATTAAGTAAAACCATACTATGATCGCCAACAACATCAACAACAATATTAATAATAATAATAACAATAACAACAACAACAGTACATCAATTTATGATTTGATTTCAATGGGCTGGTAGACACTGGTAGGTCTTCCCGCCCATACATATATATATATATATATATATATATATATATATATATATATATATATATATATATATATATATATATATATATATATAAGGTATATATATAGTTAGTTTTTTTTAGCTCATCACATAAAATCATTCATTGAAAAATTATTGTTTGTTTTTTTTTGTTTGTTTTTTGTTATTTGTTATTTTCTAAATTGATTTGCTATTGATTGCATACATACATACTGTACATATAATAACTAATAATAATAAATTTTTGCCTATTATACTAATTTACTATTATAATATATGATGATGATATATAATAAATTTACTTTATATTAAATTTTTTATTTGAGTGAAATAAATGTAAATACGGAAAAATTTTAGACTAATAGTAAAAATATCAAAAAATAAACTTTATTTTAATAGTTTTGTTTTCATCCAATTCAATGAATCTCTCAATTTTAATGTCAAGAATATTCTGTACGATAAACGATATATWTATTATATATTGAAAACACTTTTATAATATATATATATATATATATATTATATGATTGAACGATAATATATATTTACATTTATATACACTAACTATAGATAAATCTATATCCCCGGTATCAGTATGTACTTGAATATAATAATGATATATAAAAACCTTTATTTTTTTGAATGCAATGTTTATATTAACATTTGTTTGTTTGTTTAACATTGCATTTTTAAATGTTTTACTGTTTGCATAATATTCAAAACAACTATTTTTATTAATACTGTAATATTATTTCCCAACTTTTACTTATATTAATAATATTAATAATAATAATAATACAAATAACCATAATTAATATTGATTGATTTTTTGTTTGTTTAGTCAGTGCATAATAATAATAATTGACTCATTAATAAATTTTACATAAATGGCTTCAAATACTACCGGTGCACATATTGATGGTGGTGGTGCTGGTGGTGTCGATATTGTCAAACAGGGTTTCCTATGGGTCAAACGTCCACCCCGGAGCTATTGGAATAGGATAAAGGTGAGCTAGCTAAATTATTAGTTTTAATTTATTTTTTATATTAATTATTGTTAATTATCAGTGTTTATAAGATTTTATAAAATATTATTTTTTAAAAATTAAAATTTAAATCTCTATATAACTTAGATATAATTATAATTAAATATAAATACATTATTACTATTTAGTATTATTATTATTATTATTGCATATTGTTTTATTTTCATAAATTATTATAATAATTATTATTTATTGGAAAATTAATAATAATAAATATAATACTAATTGCTAGGTATAATGAATTGAGTTATTATTGATGAGATTATAATTATAGCCATTAATTATTATTATTTTTTTGTATTTAATATTTATTAAAATTATTATATCATATAATAGAAACAACAAAAATTTACAACAACAAAAATTTTTAACAAAAATGTGTTGTTATGTAAAGTTATAATACTTTAGAAATTATATTATTTATTGTATTAGTGAACAACATATTCTAGTTTTTAGATTTTTCTATATATATAAAGTAATTAATAATAATTAAAATGTAATTTTCATTATATTGAAAAATAATTTATTACACAAAATTAATGTTTAACACATAATTTATAGTTTTATATTGTAATAATAATAAATTTTATTATTAACTATATTTTGACTATAAAAAAATGCTAGAAATATTGTTTAATACGATTATATGAATATAAATATAATTTAATATTATGTACATTAATATAATTTAATTTAATTAGCTAAATTCACAAATTTTTACAAATTTTCATAAATTAGTATTATTATTATTATACAGTAATAATAATACTATTATTATTACTACTTATATTTTGTATGAAATAACATCAGTATACTATACATGTATTGTATACAATAGATTTAATAAATAATTTTTTTTAAATATTTAGTTAAATTAAATCAAATTTCACAAAAGTATTAATTTTTTAATCTTTTATAAGTTTTAAAATACTGTGACAATACATACATACAAATACAGTATTATTATTTTTTTTGAGTATTAATATATATACGATATAACGATACATAAGATATTTTTTTCTACAAATAAAAGTATTGAAAGGATTTTTAACTTTTTTTTATTGTATTTCTAATCTTATTATTTGCATTAAGAAAAAAATTCAAGACATGTCTAGCATTAAAAAAAATCAATGTAAAGTATTTGAATATTTGAATATTTAAATAATAATAATAATAATACTTATAATACATAATAAAATTGCAAAACTTGCAAAAAGGGTTCAATGTATTAAAATTCTGTATGTATTAAATAAATCATATTTTATTTTTAATTTAATATACTATAGTATTAATAAATAAAACAGTATTAGTAGACATCGTTAGAAAAGTATATCAAATTTATTAGAAAATATTATTTATTTTTTTACTTTAGTTATATATTTATATATATATCATATATATGATTGATATAAAAAAATTAATTTAAAATAATGGGTTTTTATTGATTTTTGTTGTTTCTATTATATATATATAAAACAATTGATTGACTATTGCAACTAAAAATTTAAAATAAATACTATATATTCAATAAAAAAAATTTATCTCGCACATTTAGTTATAAAAAGTAATTTTTATAAACTTTTACAATTTTTTAGTAATAAATAAATAAATCTTTTTTTAACAACTTGAATATATTATAATAAAAATATATTTTACAATTTTTTCTGCAAATGTTTGCATATATATTTTTTAATATATTAAATAAACTGTATATATATATATGGCATAATCTAGATTATATAACATCAATGATCTACTAACAAGTACTGTATAAATATGCTTGAAATATATATCCAATTACTTAAATATTATTTATTTTTATTGATATGTATTATATAATGTCTGTATAAAGTTTATTCCGTTTATTATATTTTTGTAATATTATTATTATTATTATTATTATTATTACATATTAAAGTATCAATAACTATATCAATAAGAATTTAATAACTTATTTTATAAAATATAAATATCGATTCACTATCACTAAGTGATTATATTTATAGATAAAAATTTTTTAAAAAATAATTTTTAATTTAGAATATTAATTATAATTATTTAAAAAAAATATTTAATTAGAGCTATAAAATGTGAAAAATAAATGTATATTTTTTACTAAATTAATGTCAAGATTTTCAAATCTATTTCTCTATTTATATACTATATATATATATAATCAATATTATACAATATTATTTTATATTTAATATAATGGCAATAAATTTGTGATATAATTTTATTTGAATTGCTGCTAATATTACAAATAATAATAATAATAATACTAATAATAGCATTAATTGCATTAGACATTAAGTACCACCACTTTATATCTTATCAAACATAAAATATAATACCAATAATATTATATTAGATAATAAATTGAAATTAAATATATATTAAATATATAACCAAATTTTTTTTAGACATTTTCTATTAATAAATTAACTTAATTTAGAAATAATTGAACAAAAAAAATGATAGTATTATACTAATTATAATATATTAATTAATTATAAATATATATAGATAAAATTTTGTTTATTATTGTTTTTAATTGATGATTGTTTTTACATTAGTTTTAATTTATTAAAATTTAGTGTAAAGTTAATGCATTTAGTATGTATTTGTAAATGTTATAATCCATATAAATGTTTACATTAAAAAAAAATATTGATATTTTAATTAATGTACCAGTTAGATATTATATATTTTTTTAAAAAATAATTTAATATTAAAATAATTTAGCAATCATATTTGTACTATTAATTTTAAACATAACTAGGTAATTATAATTAATTGATAATTTATGTAAAATATTTAATAAATTTGATTTGCTAAAGATTATTTTAAGATTAATTTTATTTATTTATTTAAAAAAAGTTTAATTACTAATATTTTACATTAGTTGAGTAATTGAATATTATAGTTAAAATATTTTATTTTATTATTAATTACAAATTTGTTTTATATCGGTATAATTTTTCAATACTAGTATTAAATATATTTTAATAAATAATTATTTATTATCTTAAATTTAACTAGTATATTAAAATAAATATATTTTATTAAATAATATACTGAATCTATTACACAATTGAAATTGATTTACTTTTTAAAAAAATCTAATTAAAAATAAACATTTAAAAGAAACTTGAAAGTCATTAATTTATATTTAGTTAATTAACTGATAAAATAACATTTATTATTACTAAACTGTAGTGTATAATAAATAATATTGAATTTTATTGATTAAATATATATATACAGTATATATAGTAGACAATAAACATAGTATATTGCAGTACTAATTAAGTGTTAAAACTTTAGGTTTACTTTAGGTAACGGAAATGTTTGTTTGCAAAATATAATACTTTATATTTATTATAATTATTATTGGATTTTATTTATATAAATTGTGAAATTCATGGGATAATAATTTTTATTATAAAAAAATTAAATAAAGATAATATATATTAATTTTTATACTACAATATATACTGTAAATTTATTATAAAAATAATATTTATATTATTATATTTAGATTAAATCTACTTTAATTTGTTAATTAGAATTAAGCTTTTTTTATATATATAAAAAATTCACAATCAGTTATTTTTTCCATAATTTATCATAAATTACTTGATTTAGTAAATTAATGAATAGCTTAATGAATTAGTAAGTAATGTGTGTGTGTATGTATGTGTGTCTATGTATGTGTATGTATATATATATATATATATATATATATATATATATATGTGTGTGTGTGTGTGTGTGTGTATGTGTGTGTGTATGTATGTGTGTGTGTGTCTATGTATGTGTGTGTATGTATGTATATATGTGTGTGTGTATGTATGTGTGTGTGTCTATGTATGTGTATGTATGTATATATATGTGTGTGTGTGTGTATGTATGTATATGTGTTTATGTATATATGTATGTGTGTATATATATATGTGTATGTGCTTGAGTGTATGTGTGTGATTGTATGTGTTTATGTGTATGTGTTTATGTGTGTGTGAGTGAGTGAGTGAGTGAGTGAGTGAGTATGTGTGTGTGTGTGTGGGCATAAAATTATTAGGTAACTAAGCTTCTTATATCCAATATTTATATATACTGTATATAAATTCTATATCCCTATGGAAATGTTCAATAAAATAAATTGAGACCAATTTTAGATATATATATATATATATATATATACTAAATATATCTATGATATATATATATATATGAACCCAATAAAACCAAAAAATAAAAATTACTAAACAGTACAGTCAAATACATTTAGCATTTTTTTGGGCAAAAATTATTACAATACAAATACAGTAGTAAAAGTAGATAATAATAAAATATTTTATTTATTTTATAATAATATTTTATTTTTATAGTTTGAATACCAATATGTAGTAGTAATAATTTTATATACAGTATATATATATATATATATATATATATATATATATATATATATATATATTACAGTTATATGGAAGTAGTAAAATATTTTTATTAATGTTAGAATTTTATTAAATTATATTTATTTATTTTTTACTGCAATTAATTTATATATAATTAAATATATATATTAATATATATACTAAATTTTCTATGGAGATATAGTGTATATATATATATAAAAAAAATAATAATTCTATACATTACTAGAATATTTTTCACTAAACATTAGTTAGCATTAGTTTTATGGTTAACTTTTCTTTAAAAAAATAATAATAAAAATATTTATTTTTCCTCGACATATATTACATCTACATATATAAATATATACGTTATATATATATATATTATAATGCACTCATGTAGCTGTAAATACAGTATTATTATTATTATTTAGTACCGGCATACCAATAACGGATATCCTAAATAATACACATATTTTATATTAATATTAATACTGTTTTTTATGTATATATAGTATTTATATTATATATTTAGATGAA